GTTTTCGTCACGCTGTGATGACGTCAAATGCGCGCTTTCGTCGAGCGCGATTTTGTCCTCCGCGCTTTTGACGGGTCACACATATTATAGAAGACATTCTCATCAACCAGTTTTTGAAATATTACAGGAAGAAAGGACCATCAGATTATTAGGGTAAAAAGAAGATATTCTGTTCTCATATTAACTTTCCATGGTGATCACTCCACTTCACTTCCCATCAAGATACTTATGTTTGATGCTTTTGAAATATTAACATAGTTTGGTTGCAAATTCTGGTCTCATTAACTTCCACTGAACTCAGTGAGATTTGGCTGTAAGCAAGCACAACTAGGGTTGCATTCCTTTGCAAATATTTCAGGTCCTTGAACTATTATCTTTTAATTATCCTGGGCATAGGTAAACATAAAGAGTTGCAGAAAGAAAACAACAACAACTGAACAAGCACCTTTGACATGTAAGAAATTCCGTTTGTGACATTTCTACGCAAACTCAAGTTGTATTAAAATCGTGGTGTTATCTTTCTAATCCACTTTTCCTCCAAGGGAACATCAGCCGATATCCTTTCTTCCAGTTTTACTCCACAACAACCCTCCTGGGTAGGTTCGGCGGGCAGAGAATGATTGTCCCAGGATTACCCGGCGAGTTAAAAAATGCATTAAGAGAGCTGGGTCGGGGAGGCAACTGACCCATTCTATGTGCCAGCCTCACTGGCAACCCAATAAAGCCGCCTGGCTTTAAAGGAGCCACCAGTCGTTTTACAGGGTCTGAAAAGAGGGGGGGGAAGGGAAAGCTTTGATAAAACGACGAGGACGCGGGGGACGTATGAAGCAGTCATTTCCCAACCTGGGACAGAGGCTGCCAGCGAGGCACCGAGACAACGCGATCGCCAAGAAACTTGCCATCCCGCCCGCCACCCAGGGTTTCCGGCTTCCTCCCAGCGAGCCCCTCGCCCTACCTGACTCCGGGGGCTCTTCTTCCTCCCCCCACTGACGGAGCCGGACGGTTACCGGGACTCCCTTAAAGGCGTCACCGCGTCACCAAGGCACCCCAGAATATTTACAGCAGGTTCCAAGGTAACGCGGGTGAAGAAAGCAAAGGGGCGGGGATAAGAGGGAGGGGAGGAGGAGG